TGCGTAGTCCTGTGGACATGAATACTCACTGGGACAACCCTCTTTCTTAAAGTTAATTGTCAGCTTCAGTGCTTTGCTGGATCAGGGCCTAAACAGAGGATACAGTAAAACTGAGTATACTCAAAATATTGTCAAATATACAAAATGAACAAACAAACGGCAATTTTTCTCTCGACTCCTTTTGTTGCTTGTAAGCACAATAGCTAAAAACAAATACATTAACACAGAAGTGTGGTTTTTAAGTTGATTATGTCCATTTAACATAGAGTTGCATCTGAATAAACCTGATTTTATAAGCATATCTTGGATAATGATAAAAATCTTTGGTAAAGCAATGATTAAAGGCATGATAAATAATTATAATTGTTTTAAAGTAAAAGTATTTAGAACTTAATGTGCTACTCACCGCGTGCTCTCAAACATACTCGGTGAGAAAACAAAAATTGATGGTGTTTTTGTTTTTCAATTGATCTGTACTTATTATGCATTGTAATCTCAAAGTGACCTCATGGATATTATTTCACTAAAGTCTGGCAACTATTAAGTTTTCTCCTTTACTAGAAGTAGATCTGTTTTCCACTAGTGCACTTCTAACATGCAAAACTAAAGCCTGTTTGGCTACAATTTGCAAAGACATCTAATTTTTATTGCGGTAAATCACTCAAACAAAATCCTGCTGAAGAGGGTGTTGATAGGTTTTAGGAGTGTTTCATAGAATTTAATGCAGTGTGAGAACCAGTGCATGAGATTAAGGAAAAAATTTAACAAGAAATAAAACCCAATTCTCTAGTGAATGATCCTCTATTTCATTTATCTTTAAAGGAAGATGGTCCTGATTAGCCGGACTGCATGCTACATATTATATTAATTAACTGTTATCCTGTCAAGTACATTCAGAATGCATAAAAAGGAACTCTGTACTTTATTCAAAAACAGCTACACTACTAAAACATGTAACCAGCGTGCATACACAGGTCAGAAAGTAAGGAAATGATGATAGATCAGAGGTGGGCAAACTACGGCGCGTGGGACCCTCCTGCCTGGCCCCTGAGCTCCTGGACTGGGAGGCTAGCCCTCAGCCCCTCCCCTGCTGTTCCCTCTCCCCCACAGCCTCAGCTCACTGCACGGCCCACGCAATGCTCTGAATGGCCGCGCAGCTGCAGAGCTGAGGCCTGACCCGGTGCTCTGTGCTGTGCGGCGGCGTGGCTGGCTCCAGCTGGGTGGCACGGCCGCCTGTCCTGGTGCTCTGGGCAGCACGGCTGTAGTGCCGCCAACCACCGGTGCTCCAGGCAGCGCGGTGAGAGGGGCAGGGAGCAGAGGGGGTTGGATAGAGGGCAGGGGAGTTTGGGGTGGTGGTCAGGGGGCAGGGATGTGGACAGGGGGCAGGGCGGTCAGAGGGCAGGGAACAGAGGGGTTGAATGGGGGCAGGGGCTCCGGGGGGCAGTCAGAAAGGAGAGGGGGGGTTGGATGGGCAGCAGGGGGGCATGGGCTCCAGGGGACAGGGAGAAGGGGTGGTTGACTGGGGCAGGGGTCCCAGGAGGGCAGTCAGGAATGAGAAGAGGGATTGGATGGGGCAGCAGGGGGCAGTCGGGGCGGGGGGTCCGGGGGCAGTCAGGGGACAGGGAGCGGGGGGTGGATGGGACAGGAGTCCCGGGGGGGGGCTGAGGGGACGGGGGGGTTGGATAAGGCAGGAGTCCAGGGGGGCTGTCAGGGGCGAGAAGCAGGGGGGGTCGGATAGGGGGCGGCAGCTGGGCCATGCCTGGCTGTTTGGGGAGGCACATCCTCCCCTAACCAGCTTTCCATACAATTTCAGAAACCCGATGTGGCCCTCAGGCCAAAAAGTTTGCCCGCTCCTGTGATAGAATATGGTGTTATAATTAGTAACTGTGGCTACGTATTGCACAGTCCTAAGATGAATACACCAATTGGAGTTTTCCATGAACAAGGACAAAAGGATTTTAGAAGCATTGTAATCCAGTGGGTAGGGAACTTTTCTGAACTGGGACTCAGGAGGTCTATTCCCAGCTCTGCCACAGCTCTACTGTGTGACATTGGGCAAGTCACTTCACCTGCCTGTGCCTCTGTTTCCCCTCTTACTCTTTGTCTCTCCTGTCTATGTAGATTGTAAACTGCTTGAGGGCAGGAACATGGTTGTGATTTCCCCTACTGGCTGTGATTTCCCTTCTGATGAAAATCTTTATAAGGAATATCTTTTGCACTGCTTGTATTAAAGATACAATGTTCTCCTTTACCTTGACTTGTACCATATGCAATGTGCTAAATTAAAAGGAAAACAGCATCTATCGTTGCAACCTATGCATGAACATAAACAATATTTTCCACGTCTTTTAATTTCTTTTGACTTTTTCATTTGCATTGGCTCCTTTTGAGTAATTAACTTGGTGACTTTTCTGGTTTAGTGGGTTTCTCCCTCTGGTAGCATTGGGAAGACTAAAAGGATTTACTTCATATGCTCCCACTGTTTGTCAATCTATCAAATGATTGTGAACATTTGTGTGCAAAAGCCTTTCAGGTGGCTGGCATGTGGCATGAAACAATCATCAGCATCAAAGTAGACAGGCAGCTCAGAAAAGATGACCACTGCATCCTTCTTGTCCATATTCCCCCCAACTAAGTCAGAAGGTAATTACTGCCTAGTGTGTTGCAAATTGTGTCCACTGCTGGAGGTCTTAGGCTGATTCAGGACTGTAAAAAAATCAATATAACATTCCATGTGCAGTGTGCAAGAGATCAGATCTTCTTCCACTTCATATTCCTCGGGCTACTTTAGAAAGAGCACAAATTCTGGGCAAGAAAGAGTAGCTATAAAAATTATATTCGGCTGAATTATTATTGTTATTTGCATTATGGTAGTGCCTAGAGACCTCAACCAAGATCAGGGCCTCATTGTGCTAGGCTTTGTACTGATACATAGTAAGCAAACAATAAATAAGTACAGGTTTCAGAGTAGCAGCGTGTTAGTCTGTATTCGCAAAAAGAAAAGGAGTACTTGTGGCACCTTAGAGACTAACAAATTTATTTGAGCATAAGCTTTCTAAGTAAGAAAACCGATTACACGTTCCTGCCCCCAAGCAGTTTTCTAGAACATTAATCAGTATGGGACAAATGAGTGTTCAGATTATATGAAATTCATCCCTCTTCAGAGGGCCAGAAGAGGGCATATGTATCACTTAAGTTTAATTTAATTCTATTAGATGACTTGTGCTGGCCCTCTGCACAGGGGTCCATTTCGCTAATTGGAATGGGGAAAGGGAAAGAGGGATAGATGTTTATGTTGCCAATTAAAATTAAGGGTTGAGGGGAAATAAATTGGCCCACGCCAGCATTTCATATTCCAACTTGGGCATTGGTCAGAGTAAGTTTTTCCTAAAATGTGTGGCCGAGGCAGTCTCAATTCCTTTGATCTTTATCTCACACCAGCTAGTTAATTTCTGTGGCTATGAATAAAGGAAAAAGACATTCAGCCAGCAGAGGGTACACAATCAAATGTTCCAGTGATTCTGTCCCTAATCAGAGTTTCTGACAAAAGCTAATCAGCCCTAACATACACAAAGGATGAAGTGGGTGTTTTCCTGCTATTGTCTTCCTTGCAAATTCCAGATTGTCTGGAAGCACAGTCACTGTGGCTGTAATATTGTTACTGGTTTTTCACGGCCACTCAGCTGCCCAGTGACAGGCCCATGTCATATGTCTGGTGTACCCATTTAAACAGTCTCACTTAAAGCATCCCCATCGCTATCAAAATGAAGAAAAGTACTTAATGTTTCCATATTCCTGAAATTGTCTCCAGAGAAGTGACAGGTTTAAGGGGGAAGTGCTATTATCTGAATCAAATTCCAGGTCTGATAACTCTCGTTACTTAATCGTGATGAGACTCCTGCTGTTTCTTCACAAGTTTTTATTTCCATAATGTCAGTGTTTGTGCTTAAAATAAAAATCTTGTTTTGCCGTTTCCCTCATGGCCGCTGCCTTTCAGTTAGCATTATACAGCAACTATTAAGCAATAGAAATCCACAGGCACAGAAGATGTCTGGATTCCGTAGATGTAGGGGCTCTCTAAATCAGTGCACTGCTGTCTTGTTCATTCTGCAGCCAGAGACTGAAGCAATATAGCACCAAAAGTGGTGTTGAACTTTCCACATTTATCTTAATGGGTTATTAACTTGAAAGCCCAGTTTTGAGCATTTCAATGCGACATAGCTTCACGGATTTTTCTTGTTGGAGACTTGTGAAGAGGGACAAGGGGGTGAAAAAAAACCATCATAGGAAAGATAAAATTGTGAAGGTTACAGTTTTGATGACATTGCAGCTTGATTGCCCTGCTGCTTGCTATCTGCATTGGCAGTAATTCTGACATCAAAGGTCTTACCTATACATACAGCCGTACATCTTTATAACCATTGGCCAGGAAAACAGTATGACCTTCTTTGGTTTTAAAGAAATATTAAAGGTGCCTAGAGCCTGAACTAGACATGTATTTTAGATGTAGGTGCAAATCAATTAAAATTTTAAATTTAAAATATAGGAAAGTTGTTGCAATTTCTTAATAGAGGAAAAAAGTGGTACCTCACATGCCACGTAATATTTGGCAAATGTTGATTTTTTTTAATCACTGGTAGCTTCCATATTTTACTTTAAAAATTCAAAACAAATAGATTTACTCAAAAATGCAGTTACAATATTTTGTTGATTCAGTATATGTAATTTTAATTCTGCTTCTTCATGGAGGAAATGAGCACATCTGAGATCAGTGCTCTTCTTTAATTCGCAAGGAAGCTGTCTGACATCCAAAGACCATGAGCTGGTTATAACAGAAGATTTCATTGCAATGTATCCTGTTTTGCTTTGTTGCTTAGGCTGGTCCTTTTTACTGTGTATATCTTTGTCAAAGCTTGAAATCTTCCCAAAGAATCAGTGGGAAAATAATGGCTTCGTTTTGGTATTGATAATTTCTCCCTTTTTCCCCTCCCTTTTTCCAGAGGTGGTTCAACTCACTCTTCCGGAGGAACAGAAGGTTAGCATTACCACAGTAACAGTCGGACTGAGCGCTGTATTGACCTGTGCCATCCATGGAACCCTTAGGCCCCCAATTATTTGGAAACGCAATGGAGTCATACTGAACTTCTTAGATTTGGAAGATATCAACGTAAGTTTTGAATTTTGATTTTAATTTGCTTTCTAGTGGATTGCGTATGACTGTTCATTTAAAAGATGATACCTTTAAGTGATCTGTTTTATTACAATGGAATATTGGAAGATGGATATTTTGTTCAGTATGGACTACGACTAGGGAGGAAAAGGAAACTGAGTCAGACAAAATAAACAGCTGGAGCATGGATAACGTAGTGCAACGTAGTACATGTAACGTAGTACACCTACCACCAACATTTCATCCCTCATGGTTCATGACAGTCCAATGAGACCAAGGGCCAATGGGTGCCAATCCTAAAAATCATGGGCAGACTGGCTACATAAGCCATGAATCTCTCAGCCATCTTATTCCCAGTGAGAAGGAACATATTTATCCATCATGAGAAACCACAAGTCTGTAGTTGACTGAAATCTCTCCTATACATCCAGTCAAATAATATACATTTTAACCCCCTTTTCTCCTACTCTCCACTTATATTTTGGGATGATCAGGGCTAAACTTTTCATGAGCTGCTGGTTGGTTGTTGGGAAGTTTGAAGTTTCAGCTCATTCTATAGGGCATGGCAATGCCCATCCAGGAAGTGTATCTATTAACTCATCCTACTACCCTATGTTGATGCCTAATTATGAATATGTGGGCTAGCTGCTTTCTTTCTTTGTGCTTTTTTACATTAACTTGGTCTCTTAGCATTAAAATATGCAGTACATCAGATTTTAATTACAGAACAATATTAGTTGATTTATATTTTTGTTCAGCTCTTGTTAATCCTAATATTTATTAATTTAGGTTAAGAGCTGGTATATACAGTATTATATTCCACTAAATTGTTGTGGAATCTGGATTGCTGAAATGTAGAGAAGCCATTGTTTTATTGTCTGCATTAAAAAGTGAAAACTACAAAGTGCAAGATATAAGTGAACGCTGCACCTTTGTATTGCATTTTTCTTTGCCACTGTATGAAAATGTTGTTCATGTGTGTGTGTGTGTGTGCATCCTAGATGCGGGGAACCTGTATGCCTAAAGACTATTTTATTGCAAGCACAAACTGGCTATGTTCACCTTTCTAAACATTCTGTTCTTTCCATCAAAGCAAGTGCTACCCTTTTCAAGTGTAATTCGTGTTGCCATCTGGAACATGACACTGAAATGCAACTTGAAACCAGCAACATATTGCTATAATATTAACATAGGAATGTAGAGGAACTTTAATGAAGACAGGCAGGGTAGCAAAGCTAGCCAGAAGCCAGTATACCTGACCTGATTTCTTATAAATATCCTTCAATGGTATGATGTGAATAACCACTTTTGGGTCATTATTGCATGGAATCTTGCCAAGATTCTAAGTGCAGAATTGTGGCTTTCAAAATTATAGCAGGAAAATGACATAACAAAATGCATTGTGTGGTTTTGTTAATAAATAACTGTGTGTTTACTATTTGGTACAAATAATCTTCTGGAATTAGACTCTTTCTAATCACAGACTAGGCTCGTTATTTGTAGTTGGTGAAGGTGGCATATCTCACCAAAATGTTTAGTTTAGCTAATCATAAGTCAGTCAGCGTCATGTTAATCAGGAGTCCAGGAACAGAATTTTTTGGCTATAATTTTCACTAGATGTGGTCTGAGAAAACTGTTTTAGTGCCCAGCTCTGGATTAGGTTTAAGACAGGATTTGGTGGTCAAGCTCAAGGTTAAACTAGGGCTAGGGTTCAGGTTTAACTGCTTTGAATCTTCACACTCAAGAGTAGGTTCTAACAAGATTTCAACCAAAAATTGGGGAAATCCATGAGATCAGGTGTTCTTAGGAGATACTGTCCACATCCACACTGGAGGCCCCCTTTGTGACCTGGAACCAAAACCAAAGTCCAGGAATTTAAATTCCCACACAGCCTTAAATTAGAAGGTGCTTGGTTTGAGGTTTCAGATAAAATCTAACTTTTGTTATATTAATTAGAATTTTTAAGAGAAAACTTTCAAAACCAAGAACACTTTAATTCCTTTTTAAATCACATAAATTTAGCATTAGGACACGTGGACTCCTGGTTTACATGATTTACAACTGTGCCTGGTATTGGTGAGTTGATTATAAACAAGACTTGTCTTTGAATGTTAAGAGGAAATATGTCCTAACGCATAAATGGGATAATTTATGCACAATCTCATCACTCCTTTGACTAGTATTCACTTTGGACCTGAAATGATCTCAGTCAATCCTTCACATTTTAAACCTGTCTCTGCTCTCAGTTATTCGTGCTGGCTAGGCCTCTTGCTAAGGGGACATCACTGGAAAGTTTATCAAAATGGCACTTGCAAAGACTTACATGGAGGAGAAGCAATATCTGTTTTTCCATTTTAATGTTTCACATTACAGTTTGCTATCTTTTTCATCTTGTCATCTAACACGTTACTACAGTAAACAGCTTTTACAGCTATTAAACACCTTGACATCTTTTCCTTTAACTAATCTCCAAAGACTTTTACTACTACTGACACTCCACTGGCATCTGTATTATTCCTTCTTGTTATTAGTGATGTCACACAGTAGGTTTTGGAATTATGATCTTGCACCTCCAGCCCTTTATCAGAATAATCTAAAGGACTCTGTGGGTTCACATACATCATCTAGTAAGTGGGGAGAGGCTGTGTGTTTCAAGTAGTGCCCAGGAGGAGGAGATTTGAGGGATGAATACAGTGGTTGCCACTAGAAAGTCATCATTTACCACTAGATACCTTTCAGTAACTATGGTCTAAGTGTAGGGAATATCTGCGGAAACTGACTGCATGTCTCACGCCCTCTCTAAACATCATTAAATCAGCATCCTCTGAGTGGGGGAATCTTATGTCCATACAATTGTCTTTCTCAACCCACTCTTCAGGTATGGAACTGGGATGTGAATATGTGAAGCAGCAGTGAGTCAGTGCTGCTCAGTTCTGAAAATGAGGCACGAGTCTCTGCAGGTAATTCCAGCAACGCTTCCTTTGCCCATGAGTGCCATGGACCAAAAACATGGTATACTGGCATTGACACCACTTCCCAAGGTCATTCTGTTTTGTCACAATCTTACAACATTGCATCCCATGCAACATGAAGTTGCATTTGAGATGATGATGTTGCATCTTGGTATGTATGCATAGGCATTTCTTGGGTGATTGAGCACATGGGATTGGAAAGGCTAGCAATTTTTGCCATTCAGGTTTGCAATGTGGGTGTCAACTCTTTCAGAGATTTGTGTACCATTGCTCCAGTTGGATGTGGGCTACATTAGATAATTTAAAGGTTGACTGTGATGCTTTGCAGTGTCTCTTGTGAGTACTGAAATTCACATTATTCAGTGTTCTATTTAAAGGCATTGGGGCAAGAAAGGAAAGACAGTATGCTTCTTAATATACTTGAAGTCAGTTAATTTAATTACTTCAGTTTTTTCTTTTAGTATGCCTCAAGCAGAAACTCAATTGCATTTCTGCTTTTCACAATAAGGTTAGAAATTTGGCTAATTGGAAGTGCAGCAAGAGATTAATTGTACCTTTTTAACTTCAGGGAAATCCTCCCTGCTTCTGGCACAGTTGCAATCACACACAAACCTACTGGATCTTCATGCACTCAGAAAAACCCACATATTATACTTCAATTAGACTCTCCCTCCTCTAAACGCTAATGGTTATTCAGGGAACCAGATCAAAATATAAACCCGACCATGAGTGGTAATCAGAATCCTTCCTGCAAGCTGTAGTACGGAACTAGGAATACTCTATGACTAAGTGATTTAGCTGTATTTTACTGCTCTGTTCAGTCTCTTGATAACTGTACTGTGAGAAGACAGAAATATGATCTAACTTAAAATAGGAATTGACAAAGATGGACAACAAAAGAGTGGATTAATCCTGAATTTACACAGACACTAAAACTAGAAGATTAAAAAAACCTTGCATAATGACAGGTTTCAGAGTAACAGCCGTGTTAGTCTGTATTCGCAAAAAGAAAAGGAGTACTTGTGTGGCACCTTAGAGACTAACCAATTTATTTGAGCATAAGCTTTCATGAGCTACATCCGATGAAGTGAGCTGTAGCTCATGAAAGCTTATGCTCAGATAACTTGGTTAGTCTCTAAGGTGCCACAAGTACTCCTTTTCTTTTTTTAAAAAAACCTTGTTATTTATATGCCTTTTTTATTTATAATATTTTTAAGACATTTTGATTGGCAACAAAATATTAATCACTTTTCACTGCTTATTTAAGGAGAAGTTTTCATGAGTAACACAATAACAATTTATCTTGTCTGATCTATTAAGAGCTCTGTTAATGAATTCAGTCACATAGCTATTACAAGATGCCATCCTAATGATATATGTAATTAAATGTTTTTTCCCCTTGAAAACATTTAGGATTGCCTTACACACCAAAATAATATTTAATATAGGAGAACCTTTGTGACTATGAAGTAGAAGCTACATCCATTTTCTTACAATGAAAATTTATTTTTTATATTTGTCCCTTAGTTAAAATGTAGATGCTTTAGATAGTGACAACAGGTTATCTAATTATAAAGAGTTAATTGATTAAATTGTTTTCTTTCTAAAGTGTATCATTTTGCTCTCCAAGAACATTTGCTAATATATTAAATTAGGAAACCACTCCTAAGTCCAAAATATAATAAATCAAATTATAGATCCCACTGTATTTATAATATCTGCAGAGCTGTTTCATATTGGTCTGTGTAAAAAACTGGCACATAGAATGGTTTTAAACTCATATGTTTCAGCAGAGATGTTGGAATTTATCTAAATTCATAAAATAACTGAGTGCCTCCTCCAGAAATATGGAAAGAACAGATACGCAAACAATTTGGCTTACAATTTAACTATAACAAATGGACTGCAGAATCCAAGAAAGCAAGAACTTCTTGGCTTACCAAGTATCACATGGATAGCTAATACATAAATTCATCTCTGCCTTCCATTACACATTTCACATTAATCTGTACAGTTTTCATTTAA